ACAGATATATTTATAAAGACAAACAATTTTTATAGTTAGTTCCTTATAAATTACTCACAGTTTTTATTCCTTTCAATATTTGAATATGTGAAAGATTTTTACATTTTTGTTTTATTTAAATTTTTTAGTTATTTCAACAATATTATTTAACGCTTTCATTAAGTGTCAATTTGGTAATTTTACAGTCACAATCAATTAAAAAAAAAAAAAAAATGAACCACTCCTTAACTATTAGCCACTCAAAAGATAAATATAATAGTTAAAAGATGGACTAAATAGATAATGATATAGATGTGCTATTGATTTTTATGAATACAGTATTTAATATTTTATATAATTTTATAAATTTTATACAACACCTTCTACATACTTACAAGAATTACCTCCAATTTAATACAAACTTTAATTTACATTAATTTGCGCGAATATGAAAATATAACCAACAAATTAACACGTTAGCATGAAAATAAGTCTAAACGGTACGATACTTTTGTTTAATAATGTAATATTGTAGTGTCAATTTAATAAACAAAAATTTCTGATAAGCAGTGTAGTACAAATACCGTAAATAAGTTAATTACTAGTAATAGTCGATATAACTTGTTACAAAGCAATTGAAAACCTGTATGTCAGAAGCTATAAATTAAAGGAGATTGACAAAAACTGAAAATGCCACACGTATAATTTACATTCCCAAAGATTACATTTCAATGAAAGAGTGTCGGAAGTTAAGACATTTTCATTATTCAAATGTTATCTTAGTTTTACAGAAACAAATATTGTATGACATTTGAACAATGTTCTCATACTGTTACAAAACTTGATATGAGAGTAAGAGAATGATGTTGTATATATATTTAGGGGAAATATTGACAGGTATCTGCTAAATAACTTCGTCTTTAAAAAATATTATTTCGATAATTTAATTTAATATTTTAAATAAACAGCGTAAAGTACACTACTATATGTAAGGTAAACAGTGCTTCATTCTGGATTTATTAAAAATTGTAATATTTCATGAATTTACTCTTAATTACAATATTACTTCTTACTGAGTTCAGTAAGTTCATATTTCATTTTTAGAAAAGTTAACTTGACCAATTCATAACAAAATTTTAAATTAAATTTTTGTAAAGTTTACTAAACCAACCAGTACTGAACATTTATTTCTTATTTATAATAGTTTTTTTAACGATAATTAATGTTCAATTAAGACGAAAAAAATTTTGTAAAACCTTCATAAAGATTATAAAGGTAGGCAAAAGTTATAAATTATTATAAATGTCTTTAGTTTTATCACAAAGAATAACGTTATTTTCATCTTAAATAAAAATTTTATTTTTAAAATAACTAAAAAGAGTAAAAGCTTGATTTTAATAGTAAAAAAATGTAAAATAAAATATTTTTTTTACTTATATAGTATTTACAGCATTTAAAAACAACACTTTAAATGTGTGTATTTTTTTAAATTATAACTTGTAACAGTAATTAGAAGATTTTAACTAAATACCTATTAATATAATAAAACTAAAAAAATGTTGTGTCATAATAAAAGTTATGTATTCTCAGTCTGAAAATAAATAAAATTTAGTAGAACATTATTTTTTAGATAAACAGGCCTATTTGTAAGATATGCCAAAACGTAGGTAATAACTCGTGTCTTGATAAATTATTTTGATATTAAACTAAATATGCATTTATTGAAAAATATAATATAATCTATCATTATACTACTTGTATAAGTATTATATGATACAAATATCTTTGGGTGTCAGTGAGACAACATTGTACGAAATTTTTACATAATATAGATGTCAAAAGTTATGAGGGGTAAAAAAATATTTCTTACGCCTAAATATTATCATAATAACAACGTTTAAAACGAGTAATCATCGACTCTGATGACATATTATGTCAGTAACAAAACGCCTTAATAATCTTTTGAAAATACAAAGATATAGATAACAAACCAGATTTCTTACTCAAGATAACAGCTGAAACCATTTGGAAGCACTATGGGAAATCATTTGAGAAAATGGACTCTAAATGGCTTCACTCGCTTACATGGACAGTATAGGACAGTTAGCAATCTAGTTTATCATCTTTATCTGTGTCAGTAAAAATATAAAACCGAATGCAAAACAGTATTACCAAAGCCGTTATTGTCATAACAAAAAGTTATGACAGGGAGCATAATTGAGATAATTTAATATAGATAAGGCATATAATAATAACTACAACCGCCAGATACCTATAAATATGATTTACTATATAAATATGAATTAATTAAATTATTGGAATACGAAATCCTAATCACAAATTGCTACATAAATTATGCGTTTTAAACAAATTATTAATATAAACAGAATTCAGTTCAAAATGAAATTAACATATAATTGTGATCCAACTGAATTGATGAGTTTCTGTTATATAACAATAAAATATTTTTTAAACATCAGATGTTCTACCACATTTCAAGTAAGATTCTTAATTTATTGAAAAGTAACGAAGACAATGAAAATAACGAATATATACGAATTAATTATTATTTAATAAAATTAATTAAATAATTATTAATTATCTTTTGAATAAAATGTAAATGAATTCAACAAAATAAGGTTTAATTTCAAATGTACAATTAATGGAAGTTTGCTTTTGTTGCTTCCAATTTTTCGTATTTCTTCTTAACAAATTATATTTTTCACCGCTCTTTTTTTTCTTTTTTTTCTTTTTTTTTTTATCAACACCATTGTTGATAAAATCAATTCCATTGTTTGTGTTTCAATGATTTGAATTCGTTTCGCGTTTCTTGTTGACCTTTAATCTTAATAAAACATCCGTTTGACAGAAAAAATAACTACTTAAAATAATGTAGCTGTTATGAGAAACGTTTGGGGTAAATAATGAGCTCAAGTTTAAGTCTCATGTTGATCGTACTACGTATGCGTGTTAGCGTAAAATGTTTATGTTGTAGCAAACCATTTGTGGAACGAAGAATCAATCTTTGCGCGCGCAAAAGGTCACCCCGTCCGGGATGTTGGTTTATTTGGTAAAGACGGCGGCAAGAGAGAAGATGACTAGGATGTCGCTCCCGCCAGTGGCGGTGGAAGTGAAGGTGGCCAGAAAGGGCGCTAGGTTTCGTTTAGCAAGAGCACCTGTGGTACCCCACGGCGCACGATCGAACCGGGTGGCTGCGGCAGCACCCCCTACGCTAGGGACAGGGAAGTTTGGCGAGGCTCTCGTAGTATATTACAACGTAACCAACGAGAGGGATAACAGTACGTACTACAACAGCTCAGGGTCATGAGCTGACCGGGCGGTCGCGCGCCAACAGCTAACGCAACAGTGAAACGCGTCCACCGCCGTTTCCAGAACCGCCACCACGTTTTATCAGCTCCAAGGTAAATTTATTAGCCACGAGTCTGCTCCACTTGCTATTAGTCGTGATTAAAGACTAACATAGACCATATGTAAGTATTGGAAAACTAAAGCATAATAAATAGTTTGCTAATTAAATTAACATGAAATCCTAAAATGTTACGAATCCGATATCACATTTTAAATGAATTCTAAAGTACATATCACTTGATTAAGTCTGTTGCGCCAATACTACAAAGATGTTGTACAATAATGTTCTCAAACAAATAATAAAGGACTGATAGTTTTTTTTATGTAAAATATTACATTAATCGTATTTATACTATCAATTTAGTAGTTCATTATAATGTGTTTTAATTAAACTTATTCTTTAAAAAATCAACTGATTGATCCTCATTTAAAATTCGTTTAAAACATTTCAAAAATCTGGTGTTTGCACTCATTTTTTTAATTAGTTGAATTTGTTACATTATTGTTCAAATTTTTACAATATATTGATGGTACCAAGATTTTTTTTATAAAAATTAATCACAATTATCAATTAACTATGATTCTATACAAACTGATAATTATTGAGTATTTGCGCACGACTCGTGTTGAAAACATTTATTGATTTTCCATATAGCCTACTTAGAGGACACGTGCTAGCTAATACATTGTATATTTATGCATAAATTTAATTAAAGTTATTTCATTTAACTTAAACTTTTAAGACTCGAAATACAACATCTTGAAATTTAGTGAGATTACTTATTGAAACAAATTTACTAATTATTTTTTTTATAAATAGTACATCAATTTATATATTTCAATAAAAATTCTACTATTTTTATATGAAACCCATAGAAAACTGAAAATACTACCTAGAAAATTTCTATTTAATTTTAATTGATATAAAATTATTATAATTAAAAAAAAGTAGTTTTAATTAATCAATGATCAAAACATTTTTATTTAGTTTTCTTGCGAGACAAGATTCAATATATACCCAAATAAAAACCCCAATCAATTTTGATAGAGAAATTTTATCAAGGGTTTATGATAATGTTTTATTAATACGAACAAAATAATTATTCTTATAAATAATTATTGTTCAAGACAAGAAAAAAAATTATCATATTGATAAATATATCATAGATTCAATAGTAATGATATATTCATCAAATTGAACAATGAATTTATTATATAGATCTGAGTGTAGTTAAATGATAGATACACATAACTTGTAGAGTAAAGCAGTTCAATTTAAATGTATAGAAGCTAGTAAACAGTATACAATTATAAATTAATTAAATAAAAGCAATTAAATAACAAAAATATTATTACGATTGATTATGTAAATTGGGTTACATTATTCTACAACCCATTTTCCAACTGAAATGATCATGACAATAAAAATAGGATTTCAATCATTTGAGTGCAATATTTTAAAAATATATTTTTATTTAATTAGAAATTAACATTGGGATAACATTATAGCCTTGAATATATTACCCACACTTTTTTTAATGATTTAAGATTAATGAATTATAACATCAAAACGAAAAAATACTGCATTTTATTTTTTATATAATATGTATTATGTTTGTTAATTACTCATAAATTTTTCTTTAATAGTAAAAATGTTGAGCCCCAAAATGCAAAGATGCGTTCGGGTGGTTGACAATCAATTGCTGATGTTATCGGATCGTGCACGCACAGACAGTACTTTAACTGGCAATTTACATAAAAAAGTTTCGGATAGTGGCAGATGGAAAAACCGATACTTCGTTCTTTACCAGGTAAATTTTTCAAATATTTAATATAATTAATACTAAAAAAATGGAATTTACTTATATTTAAAAATTACTCTAAAATAATCTATACAAATTAGAATTTAACGAAGATTTTCTACTTAAAATAATTGAAACCCTTTGTGATATTTCTTAGTGGCAGAACTACTCTTTGAAGCTTTTCTTTAAAAGATGTTCACAATACCAGTTTCCTTGTTAATCGGCATGACAGCATCCTGTAAAAAATTAGGAAATATTAAATTTTAAACAAACTGTATAGTGTACACATTTTTCACAATTTTCTATTAAAATATTAAAAAGCATCATTTTTTGATATTTATTGTAGTATTAAATTATAAATTTATTTTAAAACTCGTGACGTTATATTCACTACGAAATTTATTGACTTCACCGTCAGCTAAAATTTACCTATTTTTGAACAACACCAACTAATTTATCATTATATTAATAATATCTATACTATATCATGATAGTCTAGAAAGATACTTAAAACCTTTTTAATAATATTTATAAATTTCACTTATATGAAATTTTATTATGTACATTGTTATCTATTAAATTATTTTTTTTTCCGTTTAATTCTACATTTTCTAAAATATTGATTGAAAAATATATCTTTTTTAAATAATTTTTCACATTTTTTTGTCTATAATGTCAATAATTTTTGTCTATATATTCCGATTAAAATAACACATAAATGAATAATATATTATAATAAAATATATTGTATTATATTTTATATTGGTGAATTCTATCTAAAATAATTGTATTTTATATTTATTAAATGTAAAATATTTATATTAAGTTTACAAAGTTGATCAAACTTAAAGGATAAATTTAATTATAAACCACCTGAGATATTGTTTATTTTAAAAACATTTAACAGTTAATTTATTGAAGACAGATATTTCACATTTATTAAAAAAAATATATCATCAATGTATGTATGTTATTAATAATATAACATTAATGCAACTAATTTTAATAAAAAACGAATTATATTTCAACATACTTTTCAAAAGTAGGCCATATAAATTGATAAAATTGGTCGGTAGTCTCATAGAAAGTCAATAATTATAAAGAGTGTTACAGGTCTAAATGCCAACTATTATGATTTTTTATCTACTTACATTTTTTATTTTCTATAATATGAAAAAATCTGTATTATTGAAAAAAATTAGAAATAACCGTATTTTTTTTTTATCCTATTTATTTACAAAAAATTATTTATACTTGTACGAACATATATCATTTAAATGACTGCAATGTCATAATATAAAATGATAAAATTGTTTTCTTATGTTATAGTTTATTGAATTTAAATTGATAATACTCATTTGGTCTCTTGTTTTTATCTAGCTATCATATTACTGTTGTACAATTCTCATTAAGTAATATGATAACAAATACGTTTGTAAGTTTATACCTAAAAATTATTAATATAAAAAATTAAGCCGTTTAAATCTTTCTAAAAAAATGCATTGCTTAGTAAGAAGTCAAAATAGTTACAAATAAATAAATAATAGCGATTGTGTCAAATATTATGAAAAAATTCAATTCATAATCCACAAAAATGTGTGAACATTTGATAACGCTACAATGATACTATTATGTTATATATTTCAATTACATCCTTAAGGAAACGTTGATAATTCTTATGGAATTGTCCACTTATGATTACCGGTATTAAACATAAAAAAGTGTTTACGTGTATCCTTTTATACACAACATAAACCAACGTTATTTAAGAAAAAGCATTAATAATTTAAATTTTAACAAATATCGAAAAGCTTTAGAATTTTAATGGCTAAATTAAAATTGGAGTTTTTGGTATCAACATATTTTCTTTAAAACTAGTCTATGACAAAATCGAAATCTCTAAAAAAACTTTTAATTAAATTCTTTTTTTTTAAATTTTTTATACAATAAAAAAATATTATTTTTACTAAGTTTGAATTATAGTTCATGACTAAAAAAACGTATTCAAAAAATATAAAATAAAAAATGAAAGTGAATAGAAATTTATAATAATAATCAGTTAAATCTGTTTCACCTGTATATAGTCATAATTAAATTATCTGTCAATAATGCTAAGTTACCATATACTTTTAGCACTAACTGAGTTAATTATTAAAAAAATAATTATTTACTTATTGTTAAGTTATAATTAAAACACTGATTTCTTTTTGTAGATCAAAAATAGCCATCCATTATTATGATAAAATGACTTAAAATTAATCAACTCATTATAATTTTAATAATAAAAAATAAATATTTTTGAAGTACAAACAGTTTTGTTATTACTTTTTAAATTTACACTATTATTTTTTACCTAAAAAGTTCCAAATATATTTTCATAAATAAATATTAGAGATATATGCATCTAATTTTTTTACAGGAGGAAATTATTTGTAAATTTGAACGACATATTCAATTTTACAAAACACATTTCCTAAATAGATATTACTTGAGAAACATTTTACTGACAAAAAAAATTTCGAAAATATATTTTACTGAAATATAATGATAATTTGATTATCATATACTTGATTAAAGTTACCCTCCCCCCCCCAAAAAAAAAGAATACATTTTGGACATTAGTTCTTTCTAGCTCTTTTTATATGGCAAATTTGTCTTTTATTTAGACATCTTTTATTGAAACATTTTATCATTTTTCGATTACAACCTATTCCTTTTTTCCTTTATTAATTAAGCTACATATAATATAAATATTTTATAATTTTATTAAATTTATTATTTTGACTAAAAACAAAAAAAAATGATCTAAAGAGGTCTTTTGAAATTAATTTCCTTTTCCATCCAAAAATTACTTAAATACTTTTTTATTCTTATAAAATTTTCATTTATGTATACACTTGTATTACTTGTAAATATATATATTTTTGTTTTTAACACGATTTTAAATAATCTAGTACACTAAAAACTCACACAGTTTTCTAATTTATCAAGTTATAATCATAAAGGCTGGATTTTTAATGATATAACAGAGTTTAAAAGTATTTTTTCATTTTCACATTCGCTATTTTTTCTTTTATTGGTCACGCCTGTTAAGTTTGATTTAAGGCTTATTTTATTCGACGTGTGCCTAGTTAGCTAAAAATGAACATTGAACATTACTAAGTTTATTTTTTAATAGTAAAAATGTATTATATAAATTTTATTTTAAATAATACAAAAAAAGTGTGAAAAACCAAAATAATCAATTTATATATTTTATAATTTTAAATATCATAATTTATTTAATTACTATATCAATGGAAAATGGGATATTATATTATATTATATTTATGTCAGTGTAACGCACTTTATTTCAGTATTTTCAAATCATTTAAACATTTTTATTTATTTTGTTTATTCAAATGTACCTATTTTTATTTTATATGACTATGTATACAATCAACATAGTGCTACGGACATGTCGATCAATAAAACCGTTTATTTAAAACAATAGCAAAATAAAAATAATCTACAAAATAAACGCTATATACAATTGAAAAGTGAAAAATAAAATAAAAACACTGTACTAGATTTTCGAAAAACTTTATTTCAAGTTATCTTACAAGTGACAGTCTTTAAACTATAACGAGGCTCTCCATGAACTCTCCCATGTAGTAAGGGTAGTCGCTTTTTATATGGTACGGCGTTAAAGACACATGTCGCCAAAAATTCGCGTATCTTTCGTTGCTTACATTTTGCAGGCAGATCATATTTCACTACGCAACCTACACGACAAGTGCCCACGTATCCACTAAAAAGTTCACGACCATCCGATACCACTACAAAACACCAGGTTTATTTTAAAATAATTTCGTAGTATCTGTCGTAACAATATTCATAATATTATTGCTGGACTTTATTTTTTTAATTCTTTAAAAAGTTATTGCTTAGTTGGTCTCAGTGAGGTGTCTGTAGAATTTCTGAACACTTTGACAACATGTTTTTTCACTACAGATTTGACTGTACCTGCAAACTGTTCATAGCAATTTACTGTCGGTGGTATTAATTCGATGATATGATTAATGATGAACCGTAGTTTTGGTATAGAACGTATCAATGGTACGTTAGGACTATATTATAGGACTATACATCGGTTAAGGGAAAAATCCATTAGATTATATCTTCGTACCATTGCAGATCGATCTTAAGTATTACTTTATGTTATACTAAGCTCTGGAGCATAGTGTTGCGCCAACTAGCCGATCTAAAAGTTCGCATATCCTTATCTAACGATAGGTGAATAAATAAGTTCTAAACTATACAGCACAATCCATTCTTGGAGTAATTCTCCATTATTGTTGTTTTGATAATAATCCCATTTGCTGTTGTCGCCATTGCATAATTACCTATATGCACAGCTGATCGAGTTTCACTGTGAATTTCTTCACTCAACAATTAGTGGTTTGTATATATTTATACTTGTCTCATTACTAATTTCATTTGTTATGTTTTTATATTCTTTAGTATATATTGTGATTCCATTTTGGCTGTGATTGATGACATTAATTAATTTTTATCCGGTCATATAGAAGGCTATGCGTTATTTATTTATTTTTTTTGAGTCGACTTCTAATATTTATGTCTTATGAAGGTCTGGAATGTCTTTCGCATTATTGTTCTTAATGATTTTCGTTAATACTTTAATTTTGGCTTTTAAGATACCTTTAATATTAAAGTGTTCTGTGTTTTTTTTTTCAAAAATTCTGTTTATGACAAATGTTTTAGTTAATTATCAATAGATAATCAATACAATCAAACTGCATTATTAAATATTAATTGACTTAATTATTTTATTAACTTAATCTGCAGTGATTTATTAATTTATTTAAATGTTAAATTTAATTTGATCATTGTTTGTCCTCCGGCACAAATATTTTCAATTTAGATTTATTGTACTTTTATAGCCAAAATAAAGTTTTCGGAAGTTAAATAGAATTATTCACCTAGAAATATTGGGTTACTCTTGTGTG